TCAGAAAGGAAGGAAGAGGGAGAGAAATAGAAACATCCATGATGAGAATCATGGATTGGCTGCCTCCTGCAAGTCCACTACTGGGGATTGAGCCCCAACTTGAGCATGTGCCCTTGATCAGAATCGAACCTGGGACCTTACAGTTTGCAGTCCGACGCTCTATCCATGAGCCAAACTGGCTAGGGTCAAAATTTTGCTTTTAGACTGTTTAGTAATAATTTTTAAAACATGAGGACAGTAATTTTTCAAAGGTTGACTTAAAAAATAAGCCTTGATGTTACAAAGCTTTTCTATATTACAGAATGCAAATAGGAAAAAACAAAAAACAAAACAAGCCTTTGGAAATATGTGGATTAATATACTTATTAACCACTATTGGAGATAGGACATACAAAGCAAAATCTAAACAATGTACAAAGTCATACAGAATATGGTTTATGATTAACCCAACCAGTTAAAGGTCAGAATGAAGAATTTCTCAAGTATAGACTGAAATGGCTTCAAAGACTACACATTCCTGGCTCCTGAGTTCTAAACAAACTGACCTTTCCCTCACTCTTTAGAATGGTAGTTCTAAGCCTCCTTTTAATTATATGGCACCTTTTAAAATAGGACATGCTATGGGCCATCGATGGCAAATAAGCAGTTTGTGTGCTCTGTGTGTATTTAAATTCCACACAATTGGGAGTGTCACCTTTGTAGAGATTACAGGACTAGGACACCACTGGACTCCAAATTACAAACTCCTTTCCCAGAACATCAATGTACAATTCACCAAGATTACTGAATTAGGGAAAATTTACTTCAACATTTGTTCATTTAACCTTTCATTTATTTCTTCTTGGCTATCTCTTGCATTATATACTGTGCCAGAGTGGTGGGGAAACAATACAGAGAAGCTGGGTCTTTCTCTAGGAGCTTATGAAGACTTAACTCACAAAATAAAAATTAGATAGGAAGCAATAAAGAATTAAGCACAGAATTCAGCGGAGTAGGGTAGTAGGCTGGAGAAGGGCAAAATAAAGAGTCCAAAAGTTCGAGGAAGGCTTCGTGGAGGAGGGGAGCTTGGAAGCCTTGCTTGTTAACATAGTGAAAATAGCATTTTGGGGACTCCAGTTAGTTTCCTCTTTCCCTTTTCCCCTGACTCACTCCCTCCTTCCTCCTGTCTGTCATCTTCCCTTCCTCTCTCTCTTCCTTTCTCCTTCCTTCCCATCTGTCCTGTGGTTTTTAGACTCCTTTTAATGAAATTTATCACCCAGTAACTACCTTGTTAAACAAAGCTCTCAATAAAGCAAAAACTTAAGGAAATCTACTTTAGACTTTTTAAAAAATCATATTTAGTGAAAAGACATTTTGTTATAGTAAACATAAAGAGCTTTCTTTAAGTAATCTTCAAAATTACCTTCTGAAGAGCACATTTTCCTCTTACATTGATTGTTCTATTTAGCTTTTTAGTATGTGCCTCTGACAAAAAAGCAAACTGGGAGATGTTTCTGTATAAATATGTCATAAAAATGATCTAAGCTACTGACTGCAGTGCGCTACCTGTGGCTTTTTAAGGCAGATGGATGGTGTAATCTACAGTAGAGGGGAGAGGCTCATTCATTCCTTTATCCAGTCATTCATGTGAGTGTCTAGTTAATACATTTAGTGCTCAGCACATTGGAGGAACAGTAAACAGGTTTAAGTAATTTACAAACAGGTTTAAGTAATGTCCAGCTGAACAACTGTAATTAATGTACATAAAGCAAAATGTGAGCAATACGAGAAAGCATGTTAGGTAAATGAAGTGAGATCTTTTGCTAGATTCTGATTCTACCATGTAGTCAGAATTGCTATTTTACTTTTCAAATAAACTCCTATTTAGAATTATTTTTAAAAACTCTATAAATTTAATAAATGGAAAATCTGCCTCTCCTTGCCCATAAACGCTTTACTGAAGTTTTACGTAGAAAACTTCAGTAAAATACATTATATTGCTTTGATATGCACAAAGTCACAACAGACATATGGATAAATTTTTACCAGAACCTCTATCCCGTTGATCTGATTTCAATATGTACTATGCTATTGAACAAATTCACAATTCACAGCCCCTGCTGAATAACTTTCTAAGGTTATTGATGTTTCTTGCTGAATGCAATGATTAGTCTTGATAACAAAAGTTAGTTGACTGAAGGCAATTTTATTTGCACAGGTATTAGTCAAATAATTAACTTTATGAAATGTCTAAGTAGTCTGCTTTCAATGATAAGGCAAAGTCCTCCTATCTTCACAATATTGGAATGTCTGCAATTTAACAGGGAAAAGGATGTTGCGTCTCCAGGCAGAGATAAGCCCCAGCACAAATTCCAGAGGATTTAGATAAGGCTCCTCTGTAGGCCTAGGAGCTTGCTGCCTGCAGGCTCCAGGGAGAGTGCATCAGTAAACAGAAAGGGATGCCAGGTATGTTGGTAGAGATGAGGGCTATTCATGGGCTAATCAGTTCTGAAGCCTTTGGAAGTTCGCAATAGTTTTCAATCATGCTGTGGACCACACAATTTCGTGGTTAAAGGGAAATCCATTTATCCTGTAACATTTGCAGTATGCCTCACTTGAGTTCTGCTTTCAAAGTTCAAAACTAAAAAAGAGTTATACCTGAGGTTCAACTTCTGTATTAGAAATCTTCAAAAATAATGATATCTTGGATTCTGAGCCAATTAGTATTTGCTTTCATTATGATGCTTTGAATTTGACTAGCAATTTTTTTTCATCTGTTTTGCATTAAAGATACAGGAGAGGGGAAAAAAAATCTATCCTAGGAATTAAATATAGCACCTATTTGTTGGTGACTTTTGGATAACTTAATATTTGAGTACCTACTGGTTTCTTTGCTAGGCAATTTAATGTTCCTATGATTGAATCAAATTCTGATGAAAGAATATCAGTTAAAGGGGTAGATATAATCCCTGCTACCTTATGCTATTTTATAGCTTCAGTTCAACAGTTATAAGAAACAAACAAAAATGTCACTTAGTCTTACTACCTGCTTTTTGAAAGACTTCCCCCCATTCCTCCCCCGAATCTTGCTGGTTTATTATTCTAAGAGCAGGCAACACATTTTTAGAATTCTCTGCAACTTGGAGAGATTTGATTGTACTGACAGGAGAACTGTGTGGTTGCTATGCATGAGCGCAGAAGAGCAGGATGTTGGAGTCTTTGCAGTCATAAAAGGAAAGAGTCAGGCTCATTAATTTCATTACTATACAAAGTGACAGGCAGACAACAACGGAAACAAAGCCTCTTGCTTGTCTAGCTATCCACAGGACATTTTCCCTTGATTATCCAATGGATTCCTGCGGCTCTAGGCCCAACATTAATTTTCTTATCTAACTGTTGTTTTTCTCTGCTTCTATCAATGGTGTTTCTCTTCATGGCTCTTTTATCTGTCCAATTCCAAATATGTAGCTTCATTTTGTTTTGTTTCCTGGTTCTTAGATTTGAACTCTTATCTTCTACAGCTCCCATGATCCTTGATTCATTTTCTGTTCTTGCTTTTAAAAGGGCTTCTCTATGCTAGTCTTGTGTCTAGTGGCCTTTTCTTGTTTTTGTTTTTTTCCTTTTAAGTCTTATCCTTCTACTGTTCAGAGCTTGTACTTCTAAGTACTGCAACTGTGGACATATGACTTCAAGGCTCTGCACGGATCTTGCTGGTTTTTGTAGATTCTCACAGATCTTCATTAGGAATGTAGAATTCCTTTTCTTTTCATTTGTCAAAATCAGTCATTTATCCATTTAAAATATTCCCAGTAGATTCTTTTAAATATCTATCTGAGGAATAACTACACATGAGCCTGTACATGGTCTGTCATCCACATTTATTTATGCCTTCTAATTTATATAATCATTTAGATCCTTGTTTTCTAGTAGCTTTGCTTCTTCAACATGGGAGTCTACTTGAAGAGGAATACTATTATCTCCTTTTCTTCTACCTCTTTTCCATGAATATTAATTGGGTTGGGTAGAAGCAAATCTTAAGCAAACATTAAGTATTGAATAAATGAAAATATAAGTAAAGGCATTAAAGTCTTCAAGTATTATTCACACATAGTGAAGACATGACCCCATGAACACCTTTGTAGAACTAAATGATACACTTTTTGGTAACACTGCAGATCAAACCCTGATAAAACTTTAGTAATATATCAACTTTCTAGATCATTTAGAAAATGTGCAAGTATTCCTTATTTTTTATACTAGGTAAACTATGGAGAAAGCAAGCAGCAGGCTCATTTCCACCTCCATCAATTATTCTTTTGTTATATAGTCCCTTGAAAAGATTTTCTTAAAAGTGCATTAGTAATGCTGATTTGGTTTCCCCCTTCTTATATCCAGCACCTTCAGTACTGTAGTTGCACTTATTGATAGATGGATACATTCAAAGACCTGCAGTGGATGCCCCAAACTGCGAATGGTACAGAACCTGACATATACTAAGATTTTTCCTATACATACTTAACTTATGATAAATTTATATCCAAAGTTAGACACAATAAGACATTGAACAACAACTAATAGTAGAACAATTATAACAATGTATTGTAATAAATATTATAGGACTATGATCTCTTGTTTTATCTACAGTCATTTATATATTTCAGTCCAAACCTGAGTCTGAGTAACCATCCCTTCCTTGCAGTAAATAGCTTGGTGTCACTTGTTTCAGGGGGTCCCCAGCTGAAGTCTTCCTATAGGCTCGATACTTTCTAGTTGCCATCAATTAGACCATGTTTTCTCTTCAACCCACAAACTTAATGCCTTTTCCTTCTTAACTAAGCCCTTCTCACGTATGGAGGCCTAACTCTTGCAGTTTGAGGTATGACAGCAAAACTAGCATGAATTTCTTTTCCCTTCTTCACAATGTCATAGATAGAAGATGTGTTCTTACCATTGACTTAGAAAGCTTAGCATGCAATTTTTTTTTTTACTTAAAAAAAAAATGAAATCAAGAACTTTTACAGTTTCACTTAAAGAAAGCACTTTACCACTTCTTTTTGACATATCTGAATTGCCAGCTTCACTACTTTGTGCTTTGGGGCCATTAGTAATTTATATAAGTGTTACTTTAACAAAAGCACTGTGATACTATGCTGACTAACACTGAGGACAAGCTGGACAAAGGGATGATTCATGTCCTGGGCAGGACAGAGTGGGATGTTCTGCTACTCAAACCGGTGCACAATTTAAAACTTAAGAATTGTTTACTTCTGGAATTTTCTGTTTAATATTTTGGGAGTGCAGTTGACCACAGGGAACTGAAACTACAAAAAGTAAAGGAGCAGACAAAGGGGGACTACTGTACTTACAATTCAGTTTCTCATTTATATGGTTCTTTGATATTTAGACCCCTTCACATTCTGATTTGACCCTAATACCCAAATTCTAGAGTAGCCAAGGTGGATATTATAGTCTCCACAATAGATTCCTATTGATTGGAGTTAGGGTCAGGCTTAAGTCTTTGGGGTTCAATTTTCATGTTCTTTTCATGTACTCTGGCTTTCTCTTATGTCCACACTGAAATTTGAGCAAATATTCATTAACTATATTACTGCTAAGTAGAGTTTAGTTTTGTGAATATATCTGTACATTACTATCAGGCTTCTTTTAACTGAAATAATTTTTAATTCTTTATGCCAAATAAAAATTACTTCTCAAAAAGTGATTGATAAAAAGCATATCAGGGCAATATTAGAAATAAGATAGATCATGGATCTTGCCTCCAAGTTCTTAACTTTTTCAAGTTAAGTAAATTTGATTAAGTTATTTAATCTTTCTGGACCTCGGTTTCACCATCTGTTACAAAGGAGGTGGGTGATGAGAGGAGTTAATGATATAAATTCTGTAAGTTATTTCTGATATGTAAATCTGTAACATGTAAATCCAAAATACTCAGTATGGTGGAGAACAATGAAGGAGGGTTTTAAATGCCAGTTATTAATGTTTGCCAGAAATTCCTATTGAATTTCATAACTTAAAGTTGCTTAAAACTTGACTAAAAATGCAACTCTAAAAGTTATGTACGTAGATAAAAGATAAAATGTGTGCAATCTTGTATGTACAATACAGCTCCCAATATTCTCACCATGTTCTGTCTTAACAATATAGCAGAATGTCAGGGCAGCATTCTAAAATAGATTGCTATTGGAAACTGAAAGGCAAAGCATTTTGTGGTGCTCAAGCTATTCATGGGTAAAGAATAGAATGAATAAATCTAACTTTGGAGGAGAATAAATAATAGTGCATTAAATTACAAAGGCCAAAAATTGTTTGTTATTCAAATAATGCAAGTAATATTAGAATAATATTAAATTTATTCTAATCGAAATAAACATAGTATACCCTACTTTGTATTTTTTTTTCCTACTTTGTATTTTTAATAATAATTAGTCAGCCTAGCTAACACTAGCTGAGTAAATGTTTTAACACAGCAGTAAAGATAATAGTGGTAAGATTTGCACTCTTTCAATTGGCAAAATGATAGATTTTGCTTGAACATGCACTCAATTTTGTAGTGCTTAGGCATCAGCAACAATATGCTCTTGGAAGCTGGTTTTGTTTTTTCCTTCCAAAGTTGGTCAAGTGTTTTAAGTGACTAAAAAAGCTACCTGAATCTGGCACTTATTAGTAATTATTTACATACACATTTAAGTTATAATGACTATTTTTTAAAATTAAGAACCAACTTTGACTTTATACCATATGTTTCCACTGAGTAATTTATAAAACAGTTAGGTTCATTATTTCACTTAGGTAATAGTATCTTCATTCATAGATGGTAAATTTAAGGTATCAAAAATCTGTCCAAAGATCCCAGGGAAAAATTATGGCCCAGTCTCTTTCTGTTAATCCAATCTCTGAAAATTACTGTTGCAAATCAAGCGACTTACCTAGGATAATAATTGTAAGTTCTTTACTATTTAAATCATTGTAATGCCATATTTATTTAATATGTCACATTCTTTAATTTTCTGCTGTCTGTGCTCATAATTTTCAAGAAAATAAGGCTAGGAGCCTGTAGTTTTCTTTGGTGGTTTTTGACTAGAAGTGTTATTAGCTGAAATTTACATTTTTAATATGATTTAGTAAAATTATAAAATAGAAGATTTTCTTTAAGGATTTGAAAGCTATAAGCTTGCCCAGCTAAGTGTGGCTCAGTGGTCGAGCATCCACCTTTGAACCAGGAGGTAGTGGTTTGAGTCTCCATCAGGACACATGCCCAGGTTGTAGGCTTGGTCCCCAGTAGGAGGCGTGCAGGAGGCAGCTGACCAATGTTCTGCTCTCTTCCTATGTTTCTATCTCCTTTTCCCTCTCCCTTTCTCTGTCTGAAATCAATAAAAATACATATTTTTTAAAAAGCTGTAAAAGTTAATGGAAAGGATAGCTGTGATTTTTTTCTTCAGTATTTTACTTACATGTAACCATCAAAGTCAAGAACCTGGTCACTGTGCAAATATTGTAATGCTTATTATATCCTTTTAGGATCACTAAATCCAGATATTGCCTGGAAGAAATATAATTATCTTACTATATTAGTAGTCTCTTAAGATTCTTTGAAAAACTATTAGTAATGTATCTGCTAATCATTTAAGCCAATGCTTTCTAAGCAATGTAAAAGTTTTATATTTGGCATTCATTAATGCTTTTAAGTGAATGACTAAAAATGGAGGTCAGTGGACTGAAGTGGGTAAATCTTTTTGACTAAGGGTTACAGATTAAACTACTATCTCTAAAAAGATTTTACTTTAAGTATTGCTGGATAGAAAGACAAATTTTAGCACAGCACTTGACAAAACAGATCATGAGAATGATCTTGAGAAAGACAACAAAGAAATGGAGAGTGCTATTTCCTATTGAAAAAAAGCATAGCATTGACCTCAGAAAAAGAGCTCACTCATTGACTTGTAAGTGGTGATTGATTGCACTAAATCCTTTCTCTAATCAGTGCTCTTTGAAATCTTATCATGCACTTGAAACAAATGAAAGGAAACATTCTATGGACATTGTGAAAGGGGCAGTGGGTGATCCTATGTGTATGTGAACCTGGTCAGATCTGTCTTTCAGTCCTGGGTTTCAAACTTCACTCTTGGTCCTTGCTGAAGTACACACAGCTGCCTCAGGCCTTGGCTTTCTCTTTTCCATTTACTCCACCACCTCTGTGGGCTGCTTTAAGCCTATTTGATATGTGAGGGAATTAAGGGGGGGGGGGGACGGGTGGGTAGAGTATGAAGTAGAGGGAAGCTATTTTGTTCTTTGGCACTTTTTTCTGATTGTCTCTGAACAACCATCTAATTTGTGATATGAGGAGGAGAAGTGGTAAACTGTATGAGAGTTGCAGTACATTTCCAGGAGAAGAATTGAAGAGCAATCTCAGCTTTAGTAGTGCTCAGGAGGTGGCCGAGAAAGCAGTTGGCATCTCCATGTCCTTATATATATTGTGAGAAGATTGTCAGTTGTTTTATTTCAAGGGTTCTATGGGTGAGAATCTTAGGTACATCCTCAAAAATACATTGTGAAAATGATTAAAATGAGCTTAAAGATGTACATCTTTTAGGAAAGTTCCAGCAATTTGTGAAGTTGGACATGTGGCATAATTATATAATATTTCATGTAAAAAGCTATCTTGGCTGTAGTCCTTACCCTAGACCCTCCCAATCAAAACCAAAGATTTTATAACAGCAGATGCTAACACCTACGACTGGGAAAATATCAGAGAAGAGTCACGAGGTTGAAATTAGATAGAAGTTTCTTTTTCTTCAGAAAGTTGGGATAAATGTTGTTTATTTTGAGTGAGTTTGTAATTTTCTAGGCAAAGGTCCAATTATGCTATAAAACAAAATTGGCTCCTTAGAAAAAAGCAAAGTATAAGAAGAAAAAGTCTTGTTAGCACAATTGATCAGTCTTATAATCAACATACAGAATGGGAAATAAGTTTCTGAAATGGCTGAAACATAATGATTATTTTGTTATTGTTATAAAGCAACAGACAAGGGTTTTGCCTTTCTAGATCAGAGTAGATTTAGATTAATTGGCCTCATAGAGCAGGTATTTTGTCATGATAGTAATATAATTTGATTTTTAATTAAAATGAATGTTTATGAATTTTAATAAGGGTTTAACTTAATGAAAATAGTAGAATCATAGAAAATCAGTTATAATGTTGCATACTGCTTCATCAATCTATTCTTGAAGATATTAGAGGTTTGAAGTAAAAAATCCCTGATTTTCTAACTCAGTGAATTGGTTTCTTCATTGAGCCTTTATTTCTCTACATGAAAAGTGGGAATAATAATATTATGATAATAATTATGAAAATTACATGAGCTGATACATCTGAACACCTGGTACATAGAGTTTAATGAGTACTAATTCTCTTTCTCATTTTAAATAATAATAAAAATATACATAAAATTCTCTTCTAAAATTTAATCTTTTTTCTTCTAAAAGTATTTCTTGGTAACTATTTAAAATTATTAGACTCAAGCAATAAAACCATATGCAATCTGGTAGGTTTCCTCCAAAGACCTGATTCTATCTATTTGCCTCTTTTAAAAATTAAGGGAAGAAAAGATTGGCCCTATGTAATTTCTACAACATGAAGGATTATAGACAATTTGGAGTTAAGCATAAAGTTAAGAAGATATTTATGTCTTAGACAATGGGATCTTATAGTTTTATAAGGACATTAAATACCTCCATTTTCTGAGAGGGGAGAGTGAGAGGAAATAAATATACTGTAGCAGAAAAGATACTATAGCAGAAAATGAAAATATTGGGGACAGAGAGGTAGAAACCTCTTAATTTTAAGAACTGATACATACTGAAGGAATTAAAAAAAAGTAGATCACATATAGGTCATTAAATCTTACAGGCAGCTAAAGTTAGAAAGCAATTTTGTTTTTAGTACTTGGCAATCACCTATAGTGTCTTATTGGCTTTTAAGCCTATGGCTCTAAAGTACACTAACTTGTGTTTGAGAAACCTTAATTTTAGTATAAGACTACCAAGCACGAAAAGAACCATGACAGGTGGGGAGACATTGGACTTGAGATGGATCTGGTCCCAATAGTGAGGGACCACTG